GTCCCAACTTGTACACAGGGTAAAGTACAAGAGCATTTAAGCTCCACCGAAAAAAGAATGCTTTGAGAATAAAGTCATAAGTAAGAATAAACGTATTAAAAAATATGTTAAATTATCCCATAACCTGTAGTGTGAATGGTAGGCTCCAGCTCCTAATGTAAACAAGAGCTACCGAAAATGGATGATAAAAACAAAGTCTGTTTTTTTTGTTTTGTTTTTTAAACAATGTCAGTTTAATGTAACAAATTGTCTATTCCACAGAAAAATGTAAACAAACTGAAGTGGCCTCTGGCTGGGTTAACATTATGAATCATACATTTTTTCAACATTCAAAATCAGGATGTTATTGGATGAATATGTGTCAGGTTTTTAGAGATGTACAGCAGCTGCTTGTCTAAACCTTAAGCGTGAAAAACTGCAGCCACATATTTAAATTTCTTAATTACCGCAATATTATGACTTATTTTTCAGCTAGGCCTTAATGCCCCTTCATCGAAGAGCAAGCATACTTACGATGTGATTCAGCATTCATTTGGAAAGCATCTGGAGATTCCTGTTTGGTGATTGTGTACAGTATTTCGACTACTACATAATCCCATTATTTTAATTCTTCGAATTCAGTTTTCCGAAGGATGTGAAGCTACTACTGAAATGATTCCATTCGGATGACCCCCTCCTTAAAAAGTAGCTTGGCCAAAGACATCTGGTGAGGAACAGAAGAGCGGGTACATGAGCAACATCCGACCCATCATTGTCTGTTTGTACCTTGATACAAAAATTCTCCATTATAGGAGCAAGAAAAACACACACCTTTTCCTGTAAAGAATCACACGGGAAACTGCCCACACTCACAAATTCAGGATATGAGTGGATCAGAAACTCGACTGCATCTGTGTACTGGAGGAAGGAAATCATTTTAGAAGAATTACATTTACAAAGTTAAAACCAAAGGTCAGATTAGTTCTACGTCTACCTCAGGTTTTATTTCAAAGCTTTTCGGCTCCTCTTTGTGATAAACTCTGGAGTTGTCGGTGGTGTAGTAAAGATGGACGGCATCTCCATCACTGCATAACCTTGGGCGTTAAGAAATGCCAAAACTGTGTAAGCTGAAAATCGCTTGTTTACATACATTCTGTTCCGTAAGTCAAATTACCGGGCACATCCTGCTCGGAGGAGTGCGACCCGAGTCTGGCTTGTGATATATGCGCCTGCATTCCTTACGCGCCCTTCCTCCCACCGAGCAGGTGCTCCGTGCACACTGCCGGCTGCTTCATCTACAGGAGGGGTGAGTTCAAACAGAGCTGGGATCAGTCACGTGCTCAGAAACTGCAGTAATTCAAGTATAATTGCGTCCGTGCTAGAACAAATTTACATTGACAACCGCAGTACAGAAAAAGGGCCCACCTGCTGTGAGCTTCGGCGGCAAGCAGTCATGAAGGAACTCTCTGGCTTTAAGATCCACAGCGGCGTCAACTGCAACAAAATTGCTCAGCTTGTTCATGAGGTTGTCGATTTTGGAGAAGAACTTGGCCCTCCGTGGATCATCCTACATGAGAGCAAACAAGGCCGATTTGGGATAAAAGCACGTGCGAAATGTTGACGTCGGGTGAAGAGGCACACCTTGTCAGAGTTTTGAACGCCCATGTAGGAGAGGTAATCCAGAGGTAAGCCTTGTCTGAATTCCACATCCTCCTCCATTGCGATTTCGAGAGCAGTAGGGACCATCTGGAAAGAGAACCGTAAGGTGCTACTCCATCTCCAAAATAGTCACCAAACAACAAAAAAGACTTGTGCATATTATTGTTAATTTTCTATTGCGATTGTCCTTATTAGATTCAAAACGTTGAGTGGTTTCACCTTCAGATAGACCGCTTCGTCAATGAGTAAGTAGTTTTACTGTATTTTTGTTCAATTCGTATCACCTAGAGACTTCTAGTTTATCGTATTTGTTTACTGTGATGCAAGTTCATTACCTTCAGCAGCAAATCGCCCCAGCTGTTCTTCTGGTAGGAGGAGATGGTGATATGCAGGGAGTGCACATCAGGGAGGCAGTCGCCCTGGTGGATGAACCCTCTGGGAAAGTAGAGCAGATCTCCTGCCTCCAGCACGACTTCCAAAATGGGCTTCCCAATCTCTGCCTGGTTAAAGTTAGCTGGAAATACAAAAACACCACCACTAAGACAAGTAGGAACTACTGTTTTGTGTTGTTGTACTTGGTGTACTTACGGCTTGAAAGCACAGGCAAGACTTCGTCGTCTGACCTGAAGGGAAGTTACAACACAACGTGAACAAATCTTGCATCTCAGCTGACATATTATTAAATACAATTTTTTTTATACACCACAGCTCTCAGCAATGAATATGATTCCGCTTGAAGAATTTTAACTTTTTCTTGTAAAGCGACAGCTTGATCCTCATAACAGAAACGCGTTTTATGTAACTTAATGCAATATTATAGCTTGATGTTACTCCAAAGTCACCAACAGTCGGATCATAATCATTGCGCCTCTTTCAAAACAGTGTCTGCATTTCATCTATATTGTGTCATCTCACCTTGGGTTGTAGACCCTCCAGTGCTTCTTTCCCTCCAGCTGAATCACAAATGCCTCAATGTCGTCATAATGTGGGGCGAATCCTTGTGTGTCGGGCGGCGTCAGGTAGCTGAGGTGAAAAAAAAAAAAAAAACATGACGAGGATTAAAACCTAATCTTCCATTGTGACACGAGTAGACATCCTACTCACACATTGGCGCCTGCCATGCTGCCAAAATGCTCCTGCAAGATGGACAGCACATTCCACACGGTGGAGGAGAACGCTTGAGGATTCAGCATACGGAGAGAGCAGCCATTCTGGGAAAATAGCCATTTTTTTTTTCACATTTAAAGATGAAAAATTTTCTAAAGATGCAAATAACGATGGTATGTATTAACATACCTCATAGAAGTCCCAAACAGTGTATGGCAGTGCTCTACCAGGGGGGTTGTGTGTTTCCCTCTTGCCATCTGTGTAGCTTGTGACATCTAGATTCACGCCATACTGAACATCCTCCTTTTTTTTTTTTAAATAAAAAGAAAAATGGCACCAGGAGCATGTGGTTTACGATTTCGGTCTTGAGAATTAAAAGCAAACACTGAATCACATGGGGCTGTTTTTTATTTTTACCTGTCGAAGAATACGATCAAATTCTTCTGTGGAGAATATTCCCTTGTAGTAGTTGGGATTTTTACGCTGAACAAGGACAGGTTTCTTTTCCCATGTTTCCCTTGGAGATGAAAACGAGAATGGTATTTGAATACATACTTGACATGCAAAGGAATATTGGTCGATGAAATTGATCTAATCAAATGTATTTGGCACTTTTGCACTGGAATTCCAGATGAAAGTAAGAAAAACAAAGAAAAACTTTAGAACACTGTAAGTGTAGAGGTGGAGGGGGTGGGGGGTTCTTGTGGATTTTAAGGCCATAACACCCAGCCATCAACAAAGGATGGTCAAATTTTGCAAAAGCAATTTATCCATCTACCTGAAGAAGGCCTTGGTGGGGATAGGGCTGATCAGCCACTGGAAAAGCGTGCTGGCACGCTCCTTGCTGTTGTTCATCTGTGCCAACTCAGCTAGTAACACATTTAGTGCCTCCTCACCCGCCTTTACACACTCCGGCTGTGTTTGAAACATAAAAACTCTTCAAAACTTGACCATATATGACAGAGAGGGCAATACATCCTCAAAAGGTTGGATCAATTTAAGTTTGAATCTCACTTCAGCCACCTCCTGGATTCCAACTTCTGCTGCATGATTCTTGGCTTTCATTTTCTTCTTTTTACTTTGTGTTGCGATATTATTAGAATTTACGCTTGCAACGTCATTCCCTCTTTTCCTTCTCTTAGATGCCGTCTAGAAAATAAAACAAGATTTAAAAGAGGGCATGCAGCATAAAAATACGTATAAAAGCATGGGAGCATATAACTACATGCATTAATCTGGGGTGTGAAGTGGAGAGTACCGTTACTCTGCAGAAAATAAAAAAGGATGCCAATGGCTACATTGACCATTGGTAGACTGGGCATTAAAATGTTTCACGTCACGTTACCAACACCCGACCTGGTGCATCGTTTGAAGAGCACAATGGCTCAGATGTAAAAATCTAAACCACCTAAAAATGTTTTTTTTCCTCTTTCGCTTTTACCTGCAATGAACGCTTCTTAGGAGAAGATGGCAATTGAGTTGGTAGCGTTTGATACATGGAGAAAGCTGACATGTGTTTTCTCTCCATTTCGCACCGTAGACAATGATGTCATCAAACAGCGACTTGCTTCGTGTCTTCTTCGGCTAATATTCTGTAAATTTGCGCTTTGACATCTTTTCTTGCGCCCTCATTGGGACCCCACAAGTACTACATGTGCTGTCCATGTAAAATTCCTCTTCTCTAATTCATAATTTAGATTTAGAATCTTTATTGTCATTACACAATGCACATAATCTGTGTTTTACTTCCTACATTTTATTTTAAAAAAGAATCATAAACAATAACCTCCGTCACGTTGCATTTTTATGGTAAAAAAAACACTAGCAGAAGGTAATGGGTTGCATTTTATAGCTGAGGGGGAGGACAAACATGCTTTTTCATGCTAAAAAACAAGTGCAGAAGGTAAGGGGTTGCAATTTGAACAGAGAAGGAAAATGTTGCGCCCAACGTGGGGCTCGAACCCACGACCCTGAGATTAAGAGTCTCATGCTCTACCGACTGAGCTAGCCGGGCGATATAAACCGAGTGGACTATTAATAATATAAATCAGAACCAAGACTGAGTCGGTCAGCATTGGAAATATTCATTTGTTAATTCCGATGAAAACCTCACATATTAGTTGCTCATACGTACATTCAATTGGTGAATTCACACGCCACAGATCCCTGCAGTACCATTCATAACCAGAAGATGACAGATTTTCACTATTTGTTCTAGTACGTGGTGCTACAAGACTGATTTCCCACAATGCATAGCGGCACAGCGTCGCCGCTGTTTGTGCTGCGGTAACAGCAACAATGCAGTTTTTAATGATGATGGTGTGAGCTCCTCTGCTACACGATCCCAAACATCAATTCGTTCCAAATTAACACACCTGGAGGATGTACGAGTAAGTAAACCTGCGGAGTGGTTTTGGACAACACGTTGAACCTGCAGGATCTTAGAGGGGTGAGTAGCAACTGAAGCTAACATTGCTGGGCCAGTCAAGAGGACAGAGCATCATGCATAACGTTGTGACCAGTCCTGGCGATAACAGGCTAACCTTAGTTGCTAGATGAGACTTTATGTTTTGCCTTCATGTATATGTCACGACCAACATATTTTATGTTTGTTGATTCCGACGTGGTTACAGTTAAATGTCGGTGGACTTATCGGAGGCTAATATGGAAGGCTGCTCGTGCTATGCAGCCTAGACCTGTGTGTGTGTGTGTGTGTGTGTGTGTGTGTGTGTGTGTGTGTGTGTGTACTGAAAGCACTCATCGATCGAACCACATCGGTGTGCTCATATGCATGTGGATTTTGCATCCATTGTTGATGAACACTATATGTTTTTTTCTAACACCATGTCCGCTTTAGTCCACTAAGTCACAACAATTTCCTATAAAAAGCACACATTTCTTTGCTGGCAAACAAATATTTGGGGAGATTATTAAGATTGAGTACAGTATACTATATTCAAAAGCTGCAGCTCTAGATCACTTCAAGCTCTCGCTCTGCAGCCGAGACATGTGTGTGTGTGTGTGTGTGTGTGTGTGTGTGTGTGTGTGTGTGTGTGTGTGTACTGAAAGCACTCATCGATCGAACCACATCGGTGTGCTCATATGCATGTGGATTTTGCATCCATTGTTGATGAACACTATATGTTTTTTTCTAACACCATGTCCGCTTTAGTCCACTAAGTCACAACAATTTCCTATAAAAAGCACACATTTCTTTGCTGGCAAACAAATATTTGGGGAGATTATTAAGATTGAGTACAGTATACTATATTCAAAAGCTGCAGCTCTAGATCACTTCAATAAAGGCGTTGCGGTGACATCAGAAGTTTTCTACTTTAATAAGAACTCCCCGAAGTCCATGGAGCTCACAGCACCATAGACGCAATGTTGTAAGTCAGGCTCCATCGTGAAAAAAAACACTATAGATTTTTCTCAATGTCCCAATTGACATTGTGTGTCTTTCAAAATCGATCTCACTCTTGTCACAGTGCAGACCAATGGCAGCATCAGCACTCCACTGTAATCTTCCATTATGGTTAGCATACACAGGAATGCTGATCATTAGATCAGGAGGAAATGAACAAATTCCACTGACCTTCACCGTTGCGAAACAAATAAGAGATGAGTTTGAATATGTTGCAATAGATTATCTAACATATCCCATTCGTAAATGACTTACATGAAGTCACAATCGAACAAAAACCAATGTGCTTTTTATTTGGGAAGGAAAGAAAAAAAACAATGTTGAAAAGTAAATGTCTTGTTTGACAGAGTTAATAATAACCTAAAACTTAAATTCAATTAGTAAGCATGATGGCATGTTCTGATTTTTCAAAATAAGCCCATTACACAACAGTGAGCGGTGAAGAAATGAAAATAACCCAAATGTTAACATTGCATACAGTTTAGTTGACCTGGACTGACTCTTCTCTTCCCTTGATTTAAATAAAAGATTGAATGGCCTGCCTGCCAGGTTTGATTTGGCTTTTTCTCAACATGCAAAATTACATAAATAAATTAAAAACGTCTGTTCAGGTTGGAAAAATACAGGCAGCTTAAAAGAGAACACAGCAGCCATCGTTAATGTTGACGGGAACAAAAGAATTCCGTTTGTATCGGTTTTCAGTCATCACACGCCTCACTATACAACCAGAATGTGGGCTGCTGTAGCCGAAAGAACAGCTGCAAGAAGGAAGACGGGATATGATTTTTTTTTTTTTTTTGGAGCTGCCATCTGCCATCCTCGACACTGACTGATTCACCAAATTCAGCTGCTGCCTACTTGCATGGCCTTGCCCTCAGAAACCACAGAATCGTAGCTAAGCTCTCTTCCTGTTTAAACAAACATCTGTTTTCAGAGATTGGAGACTTTTGCGGGCAGCCTGTTCCGTGTCATTGGTGTCGGAACGGCAGCCATTTGTTTCATAATGATTCATTCTGATGCCAACAGTTGTAACTTCCGATAAAGTGCGTGAGCTGAAACAAGCAAAGGAAAGTAGCAGCACATGTCTTGGGTTTTGATGATGTGACTCAACGCCATCTCCTCACGGCACCACTCCTGCCGGTCAGGAAGCAAAATTTGTCAGCTAATGCCTTTTCCACACAGCCAACTTTTTTTCACGAGCAGTTGTAACACTTCATGCTCAAATTCAGATAATGCACTTTGTTGTGAGGCATGAGTGTCTTTTCTTGGTTTCCTGGAGTATGCTATGAACAGTTCTGCTCTTCACAGCATTGTCACATGCAAACTAGATTCACAATACAGGCAATTTGTAATGCGGTCATGCCGAAGTTAAAATAAATCCTGCATTCAGAAATGCACAAAAAACAAAAATTAAGCCTGGTTAAAAACTCAATCAATATCGCATCAACAGAACCAACCACAATGCAGAATCTGTGAGTCAGTCTTCCATGAACAAACCGTCAAGAAAAAGATGAACCAACAAACTCACATTAGTCACGATATTTGAATTATTTTATTTTATTTTATTTTTTTTTACTCTTGTTGCATACAAGTGAGGGTGCAGACAGTTAAGTTGGAGCCAGTTGGCGAATATTCAGGTCATAACTCTGTCATGTTAAGAACTAATCACCCTGGCTCTCCTCCCACGATCCATCAGCGGACTGGAAGATGAAGCTTCCGGGGGGTTCTGGCAGCTGTTGTCGGGCCTTAGTCAATCTGTTCTGGTCCGGTGTGTTTGGCTAGCTGAGCCTCTCAAGAGGATTCTGCAACGACGCCCGCTGCCAGGGCAAGATAACGCCGTTTATTTTGCAGAACGAGCTTTTGACAAAAGGCCATTGGAAGCGTAAATCGATTTCACGAGAGCAAAGGTAGCATTTGCTTCCACGTGGTGATTAAGATAAGATCAGATAAGATAAGATAACCTTTTTTCATCCGTTTTAATAGTTTGAAGGATGTTGTCTTCAAATATGATTTCGATTAATCCACTGATTTTAATGCATTAACTGTCGTCACAATGTAAAGGAGAACGTGTCGAAAAAGTCAGCCCGCTCATGTCACGGGCTGAACGTATCGGCGCTAATTTCCCAGCACGCTTTGAAGTCTGACCCCGTTGTCTGTTGTTTCTGATGTGGATTCTTGTCACAGGCTGTAGGTACAAATTGCGAATTGTTGAGTCATGGCTTCACCACCTGCTCCCCTTCGCCGAGTGTCCTTTGGAACTCCGCCCTTCCCCAGCAGTTACCTCCGCATTTTCTCCCGAGTGAGCGGCTCGTCGCCATGTCCCCTCCCAGTTAATGACAACAAGGGTATACTGCAAGAGCAACGAGCCGGCGAGGACACAAATTCTCGAGGGTCGTTTGGAGTCCCAGCAGACAGGATGACATTTTTGTTGTTGAGGCAGGTCACCTCCAGAAGCCATATTTCATTTTGTATTATTTTTATGTGAGTTGTTCAATCAGCCTGCGGCTCAGTCCTGAGCTGTAAAAACAAAAACATTTTATATGAACCATGAAAAAGTGACTGATCTCATGAGTTAAAATTTGTTGAAGGTTTAGGGCAAAGGTAAAACTTTCTCAAAAGTTTTATACAGTCTCGATATGTTGTGGGCTTAATGCAGGTTGGTCTTGAACGCTTTCTTCATGAAAGGAGTAATATGAGAGCCCTCATCTTGATATTTTAGACTCTATGTCTCTACCTCATGGAACCTTGCTACTCGGGGTCTAATTTAAAATAAAAAAAGCTCCGTGATCTTCCCGTCCGCCCGCCAGCCTCCTCTGCTCTCCGTTTCTTACTTCCAGTGCCCTCCTGAGGCGGGAGGGAAAAAAAAAATGTCATCTCAAGAGGCCGCACGCTCATTTCACCTGCTACTCCCTCTGTCTTCCCCGCATGGGGACGGATAGTGCTGCCGGTGTAATCTTAACATAATTCAAACTACACATCGCTGCTCTTCTTGCTTTTCCTTCACGAGAGAAATCCGAGGACTGTATCAGAACGTCCTGCCGTTAGGCACTGACGTTGTTCAAACATTCATGCGGGCATTTTGTCCTCAATTGTCTGCCAACCTGGAAGCAGCGTTCGTCTTTTGTTCTTGCTGATAATGACTCATACCTTGCGCAAATCATACGCTCGCCCCACTCCGTCGTTGAGCTTGAACTGCGGCTTTTGCTTGTGCACGAATTGAAACTGGGTAGTTTATTCGGGGCGGCTCACTGTTTTCCATTTCTCCCAACGCGTTGCTATACTCATCACAATCGCTTGGCAATGAGATTGCCGACCTTGCTTCGGCTTCTCGTGAAACCACCAAAGATATTTAATCCTGATGGTCATTAATTCCGAATGTCGCTCTTCCCGTGCGGCATAGTGATTACGCCGGATGCCCTTCCTGATGCAAGCGGTCACAATATTGATTGATTGTTTTGACGGACATTCAAATAAAACCCATATTCATCCCCCACATTTTACAGCAGCCCCTTAAATGTCAATCAGCCTCCTACAAAATGACAAATGAGTGAGCCTACGATGGGTTCTCCAGTACTGAATTGTAACCTTATATTCACACTGTTCATATGAAGGCCAGTGTCAAGTCTGGTGAATCATTAGCTGCATCACAGCTCAGAGGTACAGAAGGTAATGTGGCATTATTATTGATCCACACGGACTAAGTACAGGGCAATCGATACGGATCCAAGATGAGCTTTGTAGCAAGAAAACATTCACGCTGATGAGCTTGCTCCAACCGGAGGGATTAAGAGCTGGGTCAACTTCCGCCAATGTGTTGTTGTGTTTCTTCGCAGCATTTGGGCCACAGAATAGGCCGAGCATCAGAAACATTTGCCGACATCTGTTTGCCATTACCCCCCCAACCCCCACTGTCACGACAGTCATGCTACAAATAATCAGCCCATCTCTGTTTGCCACTCCCACTCATGACTGAGCAGCAGAATGCCAAGCAGCATTCTTCGGGTCACATGTGCGAGGATCTTTTTGGACTAACGACGGCAGAAACAAGTTGCTGGAGCCGATGCCAGCTGACTTTGGGCGGAAGGCGGACTTGCATTGGTCGCCAGCCAGTTGCAGGGCACATATAGAGACAAACCACCATTCACACCCACATCCACACCATGACTTAGCAGGAAGCGATCTCATGCCGCCCGCACACAAGTCCGGCGAGTGTACCACCTAATAGAAAAAAAATGTTTTCCAAAAATAAATGTTGTACCCTTATTTGTGTCTTTTTTGTTTCTCAGGTTTCCTGTTTGAGAAGAACATTTTCCTGGGGTCAGAAAATGGTTCGACTCCGGACGGAAGCAACGGGGCCACCCGATTTGACCGCTCTTTGAGCCACCATGCTGCTCGCCCCTCTTCACACATTGAGGGGTGTCACTCCTCAGAAGTGGAACCGTTTCCTGACTTGATTTGCAAGGGGTGCATCGCGTCAATATCAGAATCAGAATCATCTTTATTGGCCAAATATGTAGAACACACAAGGAATTTGTCTCCGGTATAACACACTCCATTAGTATCATCATAAACAAGGACATGACAAATAAGTATGGAAAAATAAGTGTCACAGGATATTCCGTAACGTAAGTGAACTGTGGCCTAAGCTTGTTTAGGCTCTCACAGAGTCGGGTACATATTACTTTACAGGTGAAGCTGGGTTCTCTGTTGAGATCCACAGAACCCAGAAGAAGAAGAGGCAAATGACTGCCGTTTTTAATTTTTATTTTTGAAAGTCAACACATGAACTAAGCTTTGATGATATAACATCCACCCCCCTCTGCCCGACAAGGTCGAATCATGGCTGCTGCAGAACCCCATAGCATTGATTTCTTGATGAGACAAGGGGCGGACTGATTCAAAAATGCAGCGTAACGGCGGCGGACTCGGGGGTGGCGGACAGCCATGGGTGTTGAGGCATGTGCGTCTCACCTGGCTCAGTTTCATGCTTTTCTTTATCCTGGTTTTCTTCCCTCTGATTGCCCACTACTACCTCACGACCATCGATGAAGCCGGGAGTCCTGATAAGCGGATCTTTGGGCCCCGGCCCGGTGGCGAATTGTGCGAGGCCAAACATGTGCAAGATCTGTGCCGCATACGCGAGTCCGTCAGCGAAGAGCTGCTACAGCTGGAGGCCAAGAGACAGGAGCTCAACGGGGAGATCGCCAGGCTCAACCTGCGCATTGAGGCCTGTAAGCGGAGCATCGACAGCGCCAAGCAGGACCTACTGCAGCTGAAGAATGTCATCAGTCAGACGGAGCATTCCTATAAAGAACTAATGTCCCAAAACCAGCCAAAGCTGTCCTTGCCTGTCCGATTGCTGCCTGACAAGGAAGATCCTGGGCTCCCACCACCGAAATCTTCCCGATCCTGCCGCCTGCACACCTGCTTTGACTATGCCCGTTGTCCCCTCACATCTGGCTTTCCAGTTTACGTTTACGACACAGGCTCCTATCCATGGGGGGAATATATTGATCCGCTGGTGAAGCAGGCTTTTGCCGAGTCGGTTAAGAATAATATTTACGTAACGAATGACCCCAGCATCGCGTGTCTGTATTTGGTGTTGGTCGGGGAACTACAGGAATCGCCGACTTCTTTCCCGCCAAACCCGTCGGATTTAGAGAGGCAACTTAAAGCCCTTCCTTATTGGAGGTCGGATGGACACAATCATGTAGTGGTCCATCTTTCGCGAAAGTCCATGACACAGAATTTCCTGTATAATGTCAGTACGGGGCGAGCAGCAGTCGTTCAGTCCACCTTCGTGGAGCAGCAGTATCGAGAAGGATTCGACATGGTCGCATCCCCACTGGTTCACGCCCTCTCGGAACCCAACTTTTTGCAGTTGCCTCATCAGGTACCCGTAAAAAGGAAATACCTCTTCACCTTCCAGGGGGAGAGGGTCGAGTCGCTGAGGAGCAGCTTGCGAGAGGCTCCTCCGCAGTCATTTGAGGAAGAGATGGACGGCGATCCGCCGGCTGACTATGATGATCGCATCATTGGCACGTTAAAAGCAGTGCAGGATAGTCAGTTGGACCAGGTGCTCATAGAGTTCACCTGTAAAAACCCCAAGCCGAGTTTGCCGACTGAGTGGTCTCTTTGTGGAGAGCGAGAGGACAGGCTGGAGGTCCTTAAGGCATCTACTTTTGCCTTGGTCATTGCCCCGGGAGATGGGCAAGTGGTTGCCTCAGCGGGCTGTGGAATGAGACTTTTCGAAGCTCTCGAGGTCGGGGCCATCCCCGTTGTGCTCGGGGACCACTCCAAACTACCTTACCACCAGTTTATTCGATGGAGCGAAGCTGCCATTATGGTCCCTAAACCACGTGTGACAGAACTTCATTTCCTGCTGCGCAGCCTATCGGACAATGACATGCTAGCTATGAGACGACAGGGTCGCTTTCTGTGGGAAACCTACTTTTCCACCTCCGAGAACATACTTAATACTATCCTTGCCAACATTCGCACCAGGATTCAGATTCCTGCCGCACCCATCAATGAAGAGCCTGCGCAAGAAATCCCCCATAAAGCAGGGAAGCTAGCAGGGACTGATGCTAACTTAGCAGACAACGGGGATCTCGATTTGGGTCCTGTAGAGACGGAGCCTCCGTACGCCTCCCCACGCTTTCTGCGCAACTTTACGTACACGTCGGTGAGCATATACCAAACATGGAACCGCGCTCCCGGCCCTTTTCATTTGTTTCCCCATACTCCGCTGGACCCCGTTCTGCCTTCCGAAGCCAAATTTCTGGGTTCGGGGACAGGTTTCAGGCCCATCGGTGGAGGCACGGGAGGATCCGGGAAGGAGTTCCAAGCATCGTTAGGCGGGAACGTTCCCAGAGAACAGTTTACTGTGGTCATGCTGACGTATGAGAGGGAGGAAGTGCTCATGAACTCTTTGGAGCGGCTGAACGGACTGCCATACCTCAACAAGGTCGTAGTTGTGTGGAATTCACCCAAGCCTCCTTCTGATGACCTGCTGTGGCCTGACATCGGGCTGCCCATTGTGGTGAGTTTCAGTCTAGCAAACAAACCAGTGGTCGTAGTTTGAAGAGCCCCTTTGAACCTCCCCCCCAAAATTCCAGTACAAGTACCAATGTGATGTGTCAGGCAATCCGAGATCATTCAAAATTGTCAGTAGCCTCGGACGCATTTTGTAGACTGTTCATTTATCACTTTTCAACCAAAAAAACATTTTTCATCATCCTGCAGGTCGTCCGCACCGAAAAGAACAGCCTCAACAACCGTTTCCTTCCCTGGGATGTCGTGGAGACCGAGGCCATCCTTTCGATTGACGATGACGCCCACCTACGTCATGATGAGATCATGTTTGGCTTCAGGTCTGTTGTGTCGACTCAGTTCAAATATCCCAGTGCCCATTTTTCAATATATACCGTTTATGGTGCGTGCAAGTCCTGTTAGAAAAGCTGAATACAATGACGCTGATACACGCATCAAAAAATGTTGTGGTTCAGTTCCAGAAAAAAACGTATCCCTGAATAGAGTCAGTCTGATCAAAGCTGAGGCGATAACCAGAGAAGGAAATCAAAAATACCAAGACAAAAATGTTGCCATCTCGTCATAAATAAAGTATGTGGTTCGACCCGCTCCCCCTTGCCTTCAAAATATGTCCACAACTCACTGTAGTAACAGCTTGTACAGACTTGTGTACGGGTGTGTATGTGTGTGTGTACGTACACGGGAGAAAATTACTCCAAAGTGCTGCAGAATTACTCTGGAATGTGCCCCCCGGCTCTACTTGGAGCTCAGGAGAGGAATAATTTGCAGTGTCTGCCTTTCAAGAGATCTTGGAGGAGCTCAGTAAAGGTATTAAATATTTGAGCTTTTTGTGCGCTGTGATCGTTAGGAAATGTCTAATTATGTTGTAATTGGCTCTCCTGCCTCGGTCTGAGGTTTGGTTGGTCCAAAGCAGCCACAAGCCAAAGCCACGACGACTTGACTCTCACCCAAAGCCACAACAGCTTGATTTCCCGCGGCCTCCAGTTGCGTCTTTTCACACAGACTCCTGTTTGTTTTCCTTATCTCAGAGTGTGGCGAGAGGCCAGAGATCGTATTGTCGGTTTCCCCGGGAGATATCATGCCTGGGATATCAACCATCAGTCCTGGCTCTACAACTCCAACTACTCCTGTGAGCTCTCCATGGTCCTGACAGGAGCGGCGTTCTTCCACAAGGTTCGCACCCACCCGTCCGCCCACCCCCGGAGGAAAAATGCCGTATCACCTACACAGCATGTGTCTCTTCATATGTTTCCCCATCAGTATTACGCCTACTTGTACTCGTACGTGATGCCCCAGGCCATCAGAGATATGGTGGACGAGTACATCAACTGTGAGGACATCGCCATGAACTTCCTGGTGTCGCACATCACCCGCAAACCACCAATCAAGGTCAGTGATAGCGAGCGGTCAGCCGTGCTCGCTCTTCCACCTTTCTCTGTGTGGCGTGCGTGCACTCATGGCCGACATCAAGGCGCTCTGAAGATGCATAATTACTCCCTTAGGTTTTGTGCTGTTCAACTTTGGAGGTTCGACAGCATGTCTGTCCCCTCGGTCTCACCGATGTTCAAACTGACACAAAGATAAATCACAAAATAAGATGAAATCTGAACTTTTATAAAGCACAGGATGTGTTGGAGGAGGTGGGAGGGAAGAGACATCGACTTGATTGATTTTTGGGTGTTTCATCAGAGAACAAGCTTACTCTGTAGATTACGCATCCGCATCAGCGGGTGGACCTATTTTAGCGGCTAGCAGTCAGTCTTTTGTTACCATGACGACCTGGAGTGGATCATTGCGACCAAAGTGGCTTCCCAGAGTGTGGAATAAAAGTGGCCGCCTACAAGGACAATAAAAGCAATTTTCCTGGTAGAGGCGGTTCTTCAAACATACTAGTGTGTCATGATAGATTATCAGGGGGGGGGCATTTATCCAATATAACGTAATCCGTGAGTAGTTTATTATTTAACTCATTACTGCAAGCTGTTTTCCAAGTCGAGTTCCTCATATTGCCTGCTGTTTTAGGGCATTTGGCACGTATTCTGTGACCATTTAAGCACCAAACTTACCAAAGGAAAGAGTAGAATTTCGTTCACTCGAAAGTTTTTCAAGCTTTTTTGAGTTGTTTTCACCAAAAATAGCTGTTTCTGACCAAAAAGCGGAGAAAACAGCTTTTGTGAAATGTAATGTGTAATGTCAAACAGAACAGTGACTTTGACACCTATATATATATATATATATAAATTTTTTTTTTTTTTTTTTTTGCTTTTGTGACACCTCAAACTATAAAACACAAAAATGATGAGAAAGGACTCGTGATGGCAAAATCGTATGGTTCAAGGTGAATGTCTGTGGCTTCTTCATACATGGCGTTCTTCATTCGATGGATGAAATGTCATCTTTTCTCACCAGCCAACACATTCTCGATTTCTCTTCGTCTGCCTCGCCCTCCTCAGGTCACGTCTCGCTGGACTTTCCGCTGCCCCGGTTGCCCTCAGGCGCTGTCGCACGACGACTCGCACTTCCACGAGCGCCACAAGTGCATCAACTTCTTCGTCAAGGTGTATGGCTACATGCCGCTGCTGTACACGCAGTTCCGTGTGGACTCCGTGCTTTTCAAAACGCGCCTGCCACACGACAAGACCAAATGCTTCAAGTTCATCTAGCGGCGGGCCGAAGAGCCAAAGCGAAAATGATGACGAAGTTGAATGGATGCATAGAAGGTGATGCTGAATAAGGGCCCCCACTGCCAACCTCAAGAAAAAGCCCTTCATAGGTGTGACACTCATTTTGAGTTTTTTTTTTTTTGTTTTTTTTTGTGTCCCTCATCAAGCTTCGTCATGAACCACTACAGATGTTTTATAATCCTGAAAGTGGTTGTACAGAGTGTACAGAAATGGGGAAAAATTCTATCTAAAAGATAGAAACTACTTGGTCACCTATGTTGACCCACAGACAGTTTCATTGCTTCTGGTTGGTCATTTCACAGTGATGAGCTGTATTCCAAGTACATATATGTGATGGAAGCACTGATTGTCAAAACTATTTTATTGAGCTTTTTTTTTTTAATGTGCAAAAGGACATTTTTTTCCATCCATCCCTGACTTAGAACCTTTGGGGTAATTCCTGTTGAGTTCAGCAAGTCACCATAATGCCTGAATTTTATCATGGAAACCAGCCGATAGCAGATTTGTTGTGTGCGTGTGTGTGTCCACAGTCTGTTGTGGCCTGCTTTTTCGTCATTTTTTTTCATAAAGGAGTATTTGGGCCACTCTTAAAAGAAAAAAAAAAGATAACAAGAATTTATCAAAGCTGTAATATTATAAAAGTAAAGTCCTAGCGACAACAGTCCTCCGATAAGTTTCCAGTCCGCGGTGTATTCTATGAACTCTAATCAGGCCAAGCAATATCGAAAATGGTTGAATGGATGAGAAATAAAATCACCTCAGAGCTGAGCAACAAATGGAGTAACTTTTTGTGGTGTTATTGGAAACACAAAACTCCCTGCAGAGAAGATGTTCGTTTCTCTGTGCCCGCACCGCAAATGCCACTTGCTCCATGCCACCACTCTTTTGTACTTTCTACATAATTATGAATCGCATGGCCACAATTTAAAAAATTAAAGAAAAAAATACAATGGCATGAGGAAACGATGGTGTACTAGTTTTTCCTCAGCGTAGCCCAAATGCTCCTTTGTATTGTAACAATGTCATTTCAGAGAGTGTCTGGTTGTATTATCCATTTGTGACATGCACAATCTCAGCTGCCAAACACCGCACAAAGTCAACCCCTACCCCACCCCACGGTGACGTGAAACTGTTAGAATTAAGGTGAAATAATGGAGGTGCACGAACAGAACATTGGATGTCCTGACTTGACTGCCCTTAGTCTCACCGTGTATGACCGACTTGTACAGAACTCTCCCGAACACGTTTGTCTAAATGTCACTTTAAAGTGTCACCATATTGGTTTCACTTTTATTTTAGAGAAAGTAATCGCTCCATGAATGTTTTCTTTGCCAAACAGGTACAAACGATGCAGTCCGGTACGCCCGCAAGCGAGTTGATTCATTTGAGCTTCAGAATTGTGAGTCGAAAGTCTTTTTAAGGAACAAACTAGATGCCGCAGTTCTTGTGTTGGGATTCTTCTTAAGAAACACATGCTCGAGTCCATGGTTCCCGTATATTTATTGAATACATGAATTAACTTTTTTCCTTTTTTTGTAATTGACTGACACATGCAATAAAATGACAGGAAATTGGAGTCTCGGGGGGGCCAAGGAAAACTAGCTTGTGCCACTTTCCTCCCATGGGGGTGTTCTTATATCCAAACGTTTTCATCGGCAGGAGTCCAAGTAGGGCCAAATTTGGGAGTCAGTTTTTTTTTTTTTTAAAGTTCCAATCATGCCGTTCTGTCTGTCTGCAATGCCACGTTACACTTTTTATTGAAGACCAACGAGGCTTCGTAACTGCACAACCCCATCTGAGGCACTAAATGGTTCGGCTGGTATTTTTTAATCTGCCCCCGGGGGTTGGGGTTTGTGGCACAGCTGGTTTTCCATGGCTAGTAGCATGGAAAATTTATTGCACAATGCTGCAGCCGTTCTGCAAGGTGCACCGAGGAAGTCCAATCCTCGAGTGCGTGGAAAGAGGGTCATTATTCTGAACCAGCAGGAGACAGGAGTCAGATGAATGGAAATAAAAAATATATTAACATCATTTTGACTTTTTTTTTTTTGTTTCGAACAGGAGTCATCTGGCTTTCCTTGTGTCTGATTGCTGAATGTCGTTGTTGTGAAGTAATTTCTGCGGCATATGTTTGAAATAGTCCATGAAGACTCAAAAGGTGCCCTTGCACCCAACACAAAGTGAAACTGTTGTTCCAGACATTTGTGTTGTTTTGTTCCCTCACACAATAGTGTAAAATTTAAACAGAATTTGTTCTGTAACACTAGTCACCTCCAACATTGCTTTAAAAATAAATAGCTAAATACATTATTAGTGCTATTTGCAGAGGAGAAAATATTTGTGTTCAGATATCTGTACAAGTAAGGTAACAACATTGCCACAATACATAATTCTCTTAATGCAGTTTGGCTGGCAACCATTTCAGGGTGTTTTATTTATTTTTTTTTGTCATCAAATGTGGCTGGCTACTTGTACACAGAATTTTTCCCACCGCTACTTTAAGCCCAGGTCTCTTGAGATGATTAGAATTTTGTACCAATTTGGGGTTGTTTGACTTTGGAGGTTCCACTAAATACCAGCATCCTTTCTCCCTCCCGATACGCAGTCTTTTCGCTCGGAATGAGGAAATAAGACGATGCCGCCGACACGGCAGTTTGCCTATCTCTCCGCAGAACGTGCCGCATGTGCGCATGAATGGACTCGGCCCACTTGTCAAGGCTGACTGGTGAAAGAGGCTCAGTGTGTTTTGACACGAGAAGACGAGCTGCACTTGAATAACCCTCACCGAGCAGCTGTGCCCAATTCTGGAAGACTGCAGGGACATGGTTTGACTCCACTTCCTTTTGCATCATGTGGCGCCAGTTTTACGAGGTCTTTGTGGAAATCCGGTAAACCTCTTGACTGATTAAAAAAAGGATGATCTTGCATAATGCATGTAAACAAAGCACAGCCTGTGAACATCGTTGCAGCATGTAGGATAGGCCCTTTTTTTTTCTTTTTAAACAGTCAAAGTGTTTTTGCTTGTCAATGTCTGTGACCCGCAGAGTGTCTGCTATGCTGGTGGCTGCAAAAGGAGGAGCCCGCCCGCTCCAAGCTCTTGGCTTCCCAAAGGTACCAAGAGCGAAAATGTCTTTTTATGCCGCGTGGAAAGGCTCTTCACGTTGTAAACGGTTGCTGCAGACTGCATGCAAATTACTGCAGGCGTGATGGTGTAGTATTGACGGGAACACATGACCCTGTTGAAATACAAGTTTGTTTTTTTTTTCCCTGATTCATTGCAATCCCCTTACAATGGCATGTTACGGGGAAATAATATGCATTGGGCAGCACGGTGAGTGAGTGGTTATCATATCTGACTCACAGCATTGCGGTTCTGAGTTGAAATCTCCGCTTTGACATTTCATTGTGTGGTTTTCTCCGGCCTTTACATCTTCCTGACACACACTGATTCATCACATGGGTGTCAATGGGTCCTTTCATGTGAAAACTGAAAATGGATGGATGGACAATCCCTGTATTGTGATACTATCACTATGTGACTGTATGGCAAAGCTACTCTGTAATTCCCATGCCAGTAAAAAAAAAAAAAAATCTTGTCTTTTAACAGGGCTGTGTTCTATTTTTATATTGACAGTAAACGTCACTTTCCTTCTTCATGGCTGCTTCAGGATCTCAAAATTTCCACCCACAAGGTCTCAACAGGTAGCATCTGCCTCCTACAGCATGAGGTGTCCTGACCACTTTTTTCCCCACAATATGGGCCAGATTTACAAAGATCCCAAATAGCAGGCACTAAATTGCGCCCTCACGCTAACAGATTGCGCGCACTGTTAGTGGGCATCATATGCACGATCGACACCCAGAAAACTGCTCCGGCAGAGTCCAGAACCAATTGTCACAGTGAGCTCAAAATGACCCAGATGCAAGGAAATGCGGAGTTGAAAGGAGTTTTGTCATAGGTTATATGACATGAGTCCATAGATCATTCAGTAGCTCCAAAATTGCATTGCTGAATAGGCAATAGGTCACGATAATTTTTGTTTCTGGCATTTCAAATTGCAATTTTGTGTGTTTGGCACACGCGTTCCTGGGTGCCCCCAGTTAGAAGCTCGGCTTCCACATCTGTTTGCGTGAGCAATTAGGTTTGCGCCCATTCCTGCTTGCATAAACCTCCAGTCAATCAGGACACTCAGTAAATCAGGCCCTTTGTGTCGGTGAGGGTGTGCCAGTGACACACCTGCTGGCCCTCAGCCTCCTTCATCTCGGTCCAGTGGGCCAATTCCTCCTCGCCGGTGCTGCTGTGGCCCAAGGAGACCCAGCCCAGGCGCTCCCGAGGCCTCATGCTGCTGCGGCGACAGAAGACGGACAGAACCAGTGACACGTCAGTCAGCTGGAAGAGCGCCACCTGGAAGACGAAGGTTTCTTTGTAGGAGGGGCTGGGCTGCCCACGGCATACCGCCGTCTTGAACTTGGACATCTCCTTGCCTTTGGAGTCCAGCATGGTCAGCGTCACGTAAGTGTCTGCAAAAGAATGATGTTGGGAGAGAGCCATCAAGTGGTAGAAAGTGAGTATGGCGGCGAGCGTCACACACTGCAGCAAAGTGCTTGGAAATTCACAATCAGGAGTTGCAGCTCAATAAATAAGGAAATCATAGAAAATAGGGCTGAGGAACACTGGGGAAAAATGAATTATGATTATTATTCTCTCCGAGAAATCGTGATTTTTCCGGGCCTTAACGTGAACATTATTTAATTGAACAAAAATTCATCAAAGTTTCCATCAGATTTGAATTAATTTATGTAAGTTTCATCTCCTTCAAGTTCATAAAGTTGACTAAACGCCTATTCTGTACACATAGGTTCTTACCTCTCATGATATAAAGCTGTCCCCCAACGAAATGCTTTAAACAACAAAACAGACCATCTATAGCACACAAGATTGGAAACAAGGAGAAGCAGGAGGTGAAAAGCAGCACGCAGAGTCCAAAGAGTTGCAGGAGTTTCAAAAAGTGCCACGGCAAAAATCAGAGCAATGAGAAGCTGCTTGACTTACTGACGGGTTTATCGGATGCTGTACTTTTAAAATGGCTCCCCTGGATCACCTCAGCGGACAGATGTCCCGTGGCAGAATTGTACACGAGTCCCAGGAGGATTTCTGGCGAGGACGAGTCCTCGGTGGAGCGATAGGACACGACCCCTGCGCTACGGGACACGCTCACCATTGAGCCACAACCCTGAGAAAGAGAAACATATGGAAAGCGGTTGCATGTCAAGGCTATCGGGGGGAAAAAAATGCTCAAACAGCTTTCTACTGCTTCTATAAAAAGCTCTCACTGTAAGTTCCGATCCAGGCTCGAGGGTGACAGGCAAAGCGATTTTCCCCTGCAGGTTTAGCTTGGTGAGGTGGAACACCTTCTCACCCAGGACCTTCTCTTTTTTCATCCTTCTGATGCTGTACAGGCGAAAGCGAACGGCACAATCGCTCAACACCTCCTGTTCCACTCGAGAGAACTTGAACGTCTCGGTGAAAACCGGACACGGGCCCTTCTGGACGCCCGTCTTGGCCCGCTGCTTCTTGGTAGGCAGCAGGACGAGGTGGACCTGCCACGAGATGTTGCCCGCCTGTTTGAGAGCGGGGATGTCCGTCGCCGCGGTGACCGTGACGGCGAGCCACTGCTCGTTGGAATCATACTCGAAGGCCACATCCAGCGTGCCGTACTTGGCAAGGGGCTCCGGTTCGTAGGCTGAAGGCAGCGGTGGACCAGAGCTGTCCTGAAAGAAAAATTCCATTCATTATCGTTCATTTTAATTTTGTTTTGTTCGTTTTTATTAGCTTTCAGAGCAGGTTTGTTAGTATTTTATAGTTAATGTGCCTTTTCAAAGGACCCCGAACAGGAACCTTGCTCTCACCTCAGGCCCCACCACAGCAGTGCTGTCACTGGGTATGTCCTCCTCGCAACCTTTGTTGAGGTAGCTCTCCGTGTCCTGGTCCACGCTGGCCTCACTGGAGCAGCGCTGAGGGGATGACGCCCTGCCGACTCGGGAATGGGAGGAAGACACGCAGGCCACCAAGACCCGGTCCTGATAGGGAGGAGGATGGCCCTCCGTGAGCGAAGGCGCTTTCTTTAATTTCTGGATGCGGCCGGCTGCTTTCATCACCAACACAGAGAGATTTCAAAGTCAGGTGAGTGAGATGTCGTTCCACACACACGCACTAAAAGTTGACGCTATTTTATCAAATGAGCACCTCCACAATAGAATGTTGTAGTTTCATCGGAGACGAGGCGCGATGCTTATTGTCATACACTAAAAAAAACTGTTCAAGGGACACTCACCATCTTCGTTGGAGGCCTCACTGCTGTAGTCTTCCTGTTCTGTGGCCTCCTTGTTTTTACTGTGGCACACGGTGGTCGCAGACTGGACCATGGGCTCTGGGTCTCTTTCCTCCTCGCTTTCTGTCAAAACCGCCTCTGATAGGACACGCAGGCAAAAAAGGAAAAAAAAGAACTTTTGTAAGATGACAGCAAACACAACTGTGCCATGCGTATCACATGAAATTAAGTGATTAGACTGTCGGGTGAAAAAATAGATGATAATTCCTTGCTGGCCCTCAAAATGAAAGAACACCACACCAACAGTCAAGAAATTACAGAAGCTTAATCGAGTGACGACGTCCAGTCCAGTAAAGTAAATTTAAAGGACGGAAAGTTGAAAGCATCCAAGCGGCACACCATCTAACCTTGTTTGCTTTTGTCTTTCTTCTTGTGCTTCCTGCCTTTCTCCTTCTTCTTTGCCTCTTTCTCTGCTTTCTTAGCTGCTTTCTCCTTCTTTTTATCCAACTTTTTCTTTTTCACTTGAGTTCTAGAGGCATCCGGCATGTCCTCATCGTCACCTTCTCTCTCAAGGCTGTACCTCTCCTCTTCATCTCGTTCATTCTTTTCCTCCTCCTGTTCAGGGAACATCGTCTCACTTTCAGCGCCCGACGATGGAAGCGGTTCATCACACCCTTCGCGTCCGCCGGGCTGTGTTGTGTCTTCACCTTGCCTCGCTTCTTGGCCTGTTTTTTTTAATTCATCAGCTTCTGTCTGCTCTTCCTGTCCCTCTTTGGAAGGCTCCTGGTTTTTCGTAGTCGCGCCGGCCTTCTCCAAGCGCTTCTCTCTCCTCTCTTTCCTCCTCATCTCCCTCTTCTCCAGCAACTCTTTCTCCTCCTTCTTCCTCCTCTCCTCCTCCGCTAACTCGGCTGCAGTCTTCTTCACCCGCCAGCATCCGTCTCTCCATTCCCACTCCAGCTGGCTTTGCTCGCAGTCCGCCTCGGCGGCGTCACCGCTTGGGTTGTTTTTCAAGTTTGAACTCGTTTCCGGCCACAAACTTCTACTCGCAGCTTTCCCGTCCTGCGTGGTGGACGTCTGCGCCCAATCCTGCTCTCCGTCCTCCTCCTCCTGGACCTTGTTGATGATGGTGTTGACCTGCTCGGTCAGCTGGTCGCTAACGGCGTACGTCACGTCGCTGACGGCGTTGGCCAGGACGTCCACTTTACTGCTGACCGAGTCCAAGATGGAGGAAATGCTGACGGACGGAAGGTTCTGCTGAAAGGTCTTGAAGAAGGCCATCTTGCCGCAGGGGTCCAGTTGACTGCCAGGTTAGCTCATCACAGGCACTGACACGGACAAGTGCTCGTTAACAGGAGGGAGCGGCAGCGGCATCTTACATCATCCTCACAAGGGTCACTTTAGAGCGTTCCATCAACCCGCCATGCATGTTTTTGGAAAGTGGGAGAAAATTGGAATACCCAGAGAAAACCCACGCGGGCCACTTTAAAGTGAACTGCAACTGTAGATTGTAATGAAGGAAGCAACTGTATATCGACAATTGCGCGAGCATGTTACCTGTCTTGTTGCTCACGGTGTCAGGATTGTCCACTGACCGTTTGTTGCTGAGGTAAAGAAAAAACAGAGCCATCAGTGCCATGAAGGCAGCGATGGAGGACAGGACACCCAGAAGCTCAGGAGACACTGAGGAGGAGATAAGCACAAGGGAACAAAGGGGGGAGGAAAAATGTATGATTTATTTCGGGACTTCACGAGCAAGTTTACACGGCGTAAATAAGAGAGGGGGAAACGTCTTAGTCCGGACTGCTGCGGAAATCTGAGTTCTCTCCACT